GTGGAGTGGAACAAACCACCGGCAGCCAGCGAGGTCACGTGACTACGAGCGACAGGCGAATGACGGATGTGATGACTAACAAGTGAGTGAATGAATGAACGGTGGGATAACAGGGGATATATATGGGAGAGAATGTGGGAAAAGGAGAAGTGAAGAAGAGGGAGCGCGGCTTCGCTTTATTGCTCGGTCTCTTACATCCTGAGCTGATCAATACTGAAGCACTAAAGAAGATGAGCACTCGGACACACACACACACACACACACGAGTGTGTTACTGATTTGGGACCACTTAAAGATGTAAAAATAAAAGAGGCCAGATAAAAAAATCTCTGGAAATTTGATTAAATACGAAACCAAAAACAATAAACACAGGAAGCAAATATTAAGTTAGGGTTGAGAGAGAGAGAGAGAGAGAGAGAGAGAGAGAGAGAGAGAGAGAGAGAGAGAGAGAGAGAGAGAGAGAGAGAGAGAGAGAGAGAGAGAGAGAGAGAGAGAGTGTGTGTGTGTGTGTGTGTGTGTGTGTGTGTGTGTGTGTGATTTATCATCCAGGGTGCATGCTTTACAGCGTTCTTAATTCAACTCCTGATACAGTTAAATGAGTTAATGTTGAGATTATATCTATTTTCTGGTGGCGGAGCCTGAAATATTGCCGTCGGCTCCAACAGCCCCCTCTTCACAGAGCCACCCATCGGTAAATCACCTGCCGGGGCTCCGCCTCCTTATGGCTAATGGAACAGGATAATAGCATGGCATGCTGTGGAAAGGAAGGCTGACTTCCTGTGGTTCTGAGAAAGTTCTGGGCCTAAATTATTAAATATAAAACTATATTTTAATATAATGACGTAAGATTTATTTCAGAAAGGGCTGCTCAGTGGCACAGTGGCCATCTCTGTTGCCTTGCAGCAAGAAGGTCCTGGGTGCACATCCTGGCCTGGGGTCCTTCTGCCAGGAGTTTACATGTTCTCCCATGCATGTGTGGGTTCTATCTGGGTTCTCCGGCTTCCTCCCACAGTCCAAAAACACAACTGTCAGGTTAATTTGTCCATCTAAATTATCCTAAAGGTGCGAGTGTGTGTGTGCTTGGTTGTTTGTCCTGTGTGTCTCTGTGTTGCCCTGCGATGGTCTGGCAACCTGTCCATGGTGTACCCCGCCTGATTGCCTGTTGGAGATAGGCACCAGCCCCCCACGACCCTGTGTGGACAAACAGGTTTAGGGAGGGATGGATGGATGGGTGGGCGGACGGATTTTTCTGACATTTTCTCGACGGACCATTAGCATGGATAGGCTGGCATTAGCATTAGAGAGGCTAGCCATTAGCATGTCTCAGAGAGTCACTAGTCAGCTAGTGGCCAGCCTAGGCACGCTAAAGGCTAGCCTCTCCAACGCCAACACCAGCCCATCCAGGCTAACACTAGCCTATCCATGATAATAGACAGCAGAGGGAGTGTGTGAACCAGTCAATGACCAGCCGAGGGCTGCTAGTCCCTAGCGTATCTAGTAGTAACGCCGGTAAAGGTGCTATTCCTCAGTAAGCACCGCCAGCCTCTCAGTTACCGGCGCCAGCTTATCATTAATCAGATCAGTAGTTTGCTTCAGAATTTACAAAGCCTCCTGCTGCTGGGCTGTAGTCTTAATTTTGGCCCCCATACCGCGCCATACACAAATTTCCAGAAAACCAGATATCCTCCCACTCCAATCAGGAGAAATCCAGTGATCATGAAGCCGAATATCCACACGTCTTCCGACTTCCTCAGTGGACAGCTGGGAGAGGCATATGATCTTCCATTCCTTCCAGGAATCCAGCATATACCCCGCCGGGTGTGTCCCCTGTGGGCATGTGGAAGCCCCCTGCACCGTTCTCATTGTTGAAAAAATCTTGTCTATCGTGTTGAATGACCAGTTTATCAAATCCATAGTTAAAAATAGGGTTTTTCAGAAGAAATGCAGAGAAGCGCTCTGTGGGCAGACAGGACAAAAAGCCTTGGGGAAAAAGATAAGGGAGCAAAAAGAGAAGCGTCTGTACTCTGCAAGTGCCAGGAATGCATCTTATTTAAAGTTTATATACATTTGAACTAGGGATGCACCGATACCGATACTGCTATCAGAATCGGCACAGATACGACGCCAATACCAGTATCGGTATCAGTAAAAGTTAACCGATACCAGGAACCGATACCAATGCAGTTGCTTGAAAATGGCTTCACTGTAACTGGTCATTTCTGTTCACCTAATATTTTAGTTTTGTGATCATTTCCATTCATATATTTTACTTTTTATCTACCTCACAGTCTTTTCCTGTTGAAAGCAGAGAAGAAAATAAAATCTGTATTCCAAATCATTGCATTTTTTTTGTGCGGTAGAAGTATCGGTATTGGTAATCAGTATCGGCGAGTACTCAGATCCAAGTATCGGTCTGGAAAAAAGTGGTATCGTTGCATCCCTAATTTGAACTTGAATCACCCACTGCTAGTGGCGCAGCAGTACTTTAATACCTCCATGGGGTGTAAAAATCGCCGAGTCTCAGGATAGGCTACTCCTCTTTAGCAAGTTGAAATTGGAATAGCAAGGCAACTAGCCATCGGTTTCAAAGGAGACGAGTCAGGGCCGCTTGCCTCCTTGAGTAAACCTCCCCCTTCCCTCTCTCCTCCAGCGAAGGAGGTGAAGGGAAATCCTGCACGTCAAATGACTGCTCCGAGGCTAAGTAGCTAGCAACGCTGGGAGAATCTAGGAAATGCTGCATTTTCTCCATCCGAGGCGGAGTGGGGGTGGGGGGTTGCAGTCTGTGTCATTCGCTATAGCAGGTGCACCTCCTTGGTTCACCAGGAGACGACTCCTTGTAGCACATTTTTCAAACAGGAAAAGTGGGTGGAGTAAGACTCTGGGGGTGACTTGCTCTTTAAAGGCTACGTGTGTTCAGCTTAACTGTGGAGTAAATGTTTTTTTTAATCATTTGTTTTTGTACAAAGTCAAAACAAACACACAATGAAACGTAAGTGTATGCTGTGTGTAGAGGGCCTTGTTAGGGTCCTGACCCTTCCTTTGGGAACCACGACTGTAGAGCAACAGCACCTACATGAGATAATCGTGTTTGGGAATCTTAAAACGTCTGAGAACTGTTTTATTTTTTCATGGAATGATGTAGAACAGGACTGTTTAGTCCAGGTCCTGCAGGGCCTGTGGCCTGCACGTTTTAGCAGGCCCGAGGGAGAAGCAACCGTTGGGCGGGACTGGCCGAAGATGAAGAGCAGAAGAATCTGAGCTCATGGGCCACTCCATAGCTTCAAACTGATGAAGATGGGAGCAGGTCTTTGGAGTTTAACATAGATAAGCGTGAGAGGAGAGCGGGTGGGGGTGTATGCAGGACATCTCCCTGGGGACCTGCCCTGTCCCCCTCCCTCCCTATCTCTCCCCTCACTTGTACACATGTGGTGATATTTCACAGGATGTCAAGGGGCTCAAATTGAAAATCCCTTGATGAATCAATATTTACTGCAGCAGCTAAATGAATAGTAATAAGTCACCAGAGGCTGAGGCCGGCCGCGGTCCAGGTCCCTCTGTCTTACAAAATCTGGAATACTCAAATGATATAACCCCCCCACCCCATCGCACAAATGCATAACACGCACAAAACGATCCCTTTATACACGATTTTGCTCAAATAAAACCTAAATGTGTTAGGTAAGATGCTCTAACAGAAACTTTTACTCAAGGGGTGGAACCAAAACTATCAGCTCAGTTTTATGGAAAGCAAAAGTTTGGAAAGAGGATTTAACAGATCCAATAAAAAGATGGCTGAAGCCTCCATAAAGCTTCAAAACTTCCGTTCATCACCGAGAACCTGGAGGAAACTATAGGGAGGAGAGGGCGTGGCCAGAGATAAACGCCGCTGTTTTTACTCTAACGCACCTTTAATATGTTTTTTGTTTTTGGTCCTGAGTTTTCACTTCCATCCGTTTTCTTTACCTGCCTATCCACGCAGTGTCGCGGGCGGGGGAGGGGAACGATGACTGGTGCCTTCTCCGGCAGTCTTCGGGCGAGCTACTTTTTACTATTTCATAATCGTTTACATAATCATCTGATCGGTTTATGTTTAACACGAGTAATCGCTGTCTTCCATGTAGGTTTGTGAGATGTGCCAACTAGCTAAAACTTTGTTTTAGACCATTTTTTAATTTATTAATTAATTATGGCGATCTACCTCTGCTTCCTGTTTGCAGGGTATCTACAGGTTTAAGGGAGCCAAATTTAAGACTCTTTAAGACCTTTTTTAAGGCCACTTAGACCAAATTCAAGTCATTTTTAAAATTAAAGTTCAGCTATAATTTCCAGCTATTGCCTGGAACCGGTGCTAACCACATCCCGAACGTGGGATTAGCCATCCAGTTACCAATAAACTTGCACTTACCCATGGCGCAAGCTCCCGCTAGTTTAACCAGCTAATGTGCTCATCTAAAAATAGCCCCCTTTCACAACCAACTGAATGTGTACGGTTCCGCTTACGCCAACATCGTACACAAAAAAAGCTGAACACTAACTAGAAATTCACGAAAATTTAATAGAAATAAAATAATCTTGTTTATTGGGTCTTTGGTAATTTCAGACCTTTGGAAACTGTATTTAAGGATCATTTTGTAATTTTTAAGGATTTTTAAGGCCTTAAATTTGGAAAAGCTAATTTAAGACTTTTTAAGGACCCGCGGATACCCTGTGTTTGTGCACCTCCTGTTCTGGGCTCAGCTGCTCATGTCTGCCCACCTGTAAACATCTCCCTGATGAAATTTCACAGCAAATTACGTGAAGGTAGAATAAACTGAATTTTATCAGCACAATTCACATCACTCAGGGGGAAACGTCTGCCTCGTTCTGAGGTGAAGCCGATGCGTTGTTGACGCCGTTTCTGTGCGATGACTTTGCATTAACTCGTGAAAGATAAATGCACATTTGTAAGGAAAAGATGCAAAGAGTGGCAAGAAGAAGGCTTTGTGTAAATGACAAGTCACCTGGCCGACTGGATCTTCTTGGCTCGCCAGGAGAGAGCGGGGTTGTAGTAGGGGGCATGTGTGGTTCCAGAACCAGAACCCGGTCGCATCTCCATCTTGTAGCGTGTTCTGAAGACCCGTTGGGAGGCGGGACTTCGGTGAAGGGTGGGATCTGTGGGGAGTCACATGAGAGTCTGAGCAAACAGCCAACGCAGAATTAAACTTATCCAGCCAACAAATGCGCACTTACACACCCACACACACACACACACACACACACACTCTCATACCCCCCCCCACACACACCCACACACCCACACACACACACTCTCATACCCCCCCCCCACACACACGCACACACTCTCATACCCCCCCCACACACACCCACACACCCACACACACACACTCTCATACCCCCCCCCCCCACACACACACACACACTCTCATACCCACACACACACGCACACACTCTCATACCCCCCCCCCCACGCGCGCACACACACTCTCATACCCACACACACACGCACTCTCATACACACTCTCCTACCCACACACGCGCGCCCACACACACACTCTCATACACATACACACACACACACGCGCCCACCCACCCACCCACACACACACTCTCATACCCCCCCACACACACGCGCACACACACACTCTCATACCCACACACACACACACACGCGCACACACACTCTCATACACATACTCTCCTACCCACACACACCCTCATACACATACACACACACACACTCATACCCACATCCCCCCCCACACACATGCGCCCACCCACCCACCCACCCACCCACCCACACACACACACACACACACACACACACACACACACACACACACACACACACACACACACACACACACACACACACACACACACACACACACACACACACACACACACACACACACACACACACACACACACACACACACACACACACACACACGTTTGATGACTCTGGCAGGTGTGTTCTTTAATAAGCTTCACATATAAAAATGAGCGGGAATAACAGAGGCAGAATTTTTATGAGTCTAATAAATCATGTGCTCCGTCTCTCTCTGCGCTGCCCTCATCCCTCCTGCTTCCTCCTCACTTTAAGTCTCATTCGTTATTTCATTTTACAAATCCATCAGACGAGCCCCGAGAGCAGAGCCACTGGGACAGAAAGAGAGAGAACTAAGTGTTTTTATTTATTTATTTGGCTGCGTATCCATCATATTGTTTTATGACGGCCCGGCCCGCCTGACACACCAAGAGTACAATATGCATAGTGGATAATCAAAGTCCTCGTTCACTTCATTTCACTGCGATCGTGGACGTCAGGGGCCGAGACTGAAGAGAAAAAGTTTGTGTTGGTTGGTCCTAAAACCTCCTCTCCAGTGCTTGATGCAAACCGTTGCTTGATGAAGGCTAAAAGCACCAAACAACAGGTGAGTAAACCTTTCTGCTGCATCTGCTTGTCTTTACTTTATTTTGCACCTCCAGATGAAACAAGCTGAGCTTTTAAACCCACTGCAGCCTTTCCTGGGTTTGTTTGGTTTTCTTTCATCCAAAACTCCAATTTAACTAAATCTCTCCAACAAAGATCAACTTATGAAGGTCGCAGGGAAACCCAGACACCAAGGCGCTCCCAGACCAGAGAGGATGTATAATCCTATCAGGGAGGTCAGAGTTTGGCCCTGGGATCTCTACCAGTACTAGAAGATCTCAAAGGGAGGAGATGAGGTGTCCCCCAAGCTGCTTTCTTTTGATGAGGAGGAGTGGTGACCCTACTCCAATGGTCACCCTACAGAGGTGATTGTACCTGGAATCTCTTTCAGGATGATTCGAAATCATGAGCTTTTCTTCTCAGACTAGAACAATGCTCTCACAGCCAGAGGTGACCAAATGATTTGTCTGTTAGGAACCAAACACTGAGAAAGTTACACTCCTCTGCTTGAGCTAAAGGTCCACTCCCAGCCCAGACTTTACTCCATGTGAGATTCTGGGTCTCAGACTCTGAAGACAGCCCTGGAAGCATGTGCTCCTTCAACAGTTGGTCTACAACATTTGGTTTGAGCCTCATGGTCAGCTAATCAAACTGTTCAGATTCTCTGAATTCATCTTTTTAGGATGTAGAATCAAAAGATGAACTCACCAAAATGTTCATCATGAACTGTAAGATAGTCAGTGTTTTCCAATCAGAATTTCTTTGAACCGTCTATCAAACTTTGACCTTTCTGACAGAACCTTTTCATAGTTCTCGCCGCCCTTGAGCGGCTCAAGGGTGGCGAGATCTTGAGATTTAGCACTGGCGACATCTCAGCTGTCATGTTCTTCATCACTGAATCTCCTCCTGACGAGGTCCAACAGCTCGTCTGATTCTGAGACTTAGGGTGTTTCTCAGTGCCAAGGAACCTTGCCTTGATGTCTTGGCCCCGCCCCAGTTGACTAGGAGATACGTCATCAGGAGCCACCAAGACGCGTTCCAATGTTCATGTTCTACCGAGGCGTGTATTCTCCGTTTGTTAGCCGTTTAGCTAGCTGAGCAAGGATACACGGGAGGCGTCTTGTAGCCTAGCCTTGGTAAAAAAAATTACCCAGAATACACCGCGGTATTTTCAAAAAGACGGGGGATCAGAAGCCGGCAGCTACCTCGGGGACAATTTAAGTTTAAAAGTAAGTTAACTAATAAAATTTATTTTTTTTTAGATCAAAAGAAGTTATCTATGGTTGGTTAGTTGCTTTTTAGTTGCAGCTTCAGTGGCTAGCGGGTAGTAACTCGCTTATATTTTTAATTTAATAAACATGTACACAATTTAAATGGCAAAAGGCTTGTTATATATTTATATTGAAACCAATACGCATAAAATATAACATTGTCTCTCGTGTCACGCAACGTTATGTGACAGCCGTGGAAGCCACGGTTACGTGAAGCAAGTCTGTTCCATTTAGCCATTTTCTTTGACCAAGGAAGGACAGTGACCTTGTAAGCAACGCGTCTGACCTCGCAAGACATCGCCTTGCAATGCCAGGCGCCGTAACATTGAGAAACACCCATAGTCAACAAACGCTCTGCCTTTTTCTTTTTGGACATCACTTTAGTTCCTTTTTCAAAAGATAAATGCTGCTTTGTCAAATAAGGGATTATCTCGTCATTCTGATCCACAAAAACAGGCTCAGAGGATTTAGTAAAACCAGGAACATCAATAAAAAGATTCACTGTAAAACATCTTATGGATAATTACGGCAGATAAATCAAACACTCAACAGATTCATTTTAGTTATCCCACCACCCAAAAGGTGTCATCCGCATCACTTCCTGTCTCCACCTATCATGCTCTGTGGTGGTCAGTGACAGCGTTCCATCTTCCTAATGAGCAGAGAAAAGACGAAGCGACAGAATGTGAGAGAGGGATGTAAAAGGAGTTTAAACACTAGTGAAAAGCCCATCTCATATCGCCTCTCATCTCCTACACTCCTTACTCGTATCACTGAGGGCTGAGCGAGGCACTGAAACACATGTTGTACATTTAAAACACGCGTGTAGACAACAATACTTACTTTTACTGGTGTGAACAAAGCACGTGCATGAGTATGTGCACCATAACTACACCCATTGGTTAGTGGCTGCTGGCACAATCCCAGACAACTTCAAGCAACACCTAAAGGTGTGCTTCCATGTTCCATGTTTTAGGATTTTTTCTGATTCTAAAGCAATTCATACTTCTCTGTCTGCGTCGGGACGCACGCACGTAACGCCATTATCCGTCCTTTTGAGGGCTCTCCAGCAGGCTCGCAAGGACGGGCGGAGTCGAGATCTCTTTCTAAACATCCGTCCGACGAAACGGAGAATGCAAGCTTGTGATTGGTCAGGACGCCACTGTCGTCGGCAGCGCCGCCATTGCTCACTCAAAAACAAAGACAGCCAAAGATACCTAGTGACAGACACGGAGAAGCTTGAAGAATCCCTCGAGGAAAAACTCTAAAAATATTAACGTTTTATTCCCCGTGACTGGAGGAGTGAAAAGATATGCAAGTACATGAAGAGGTGGAGGAGAATGAGGAACAGAACTGTCTGTGTTAAATAGTAATTGAAATCCAAAAAACACAATATAAAGACACCATCTTGGACCCGATACATGACAGGATACCCCAGAACAGCGCTACGCCCTCTGTTGTCCTGACGGGGAATTGCTTTGCAACATTCCCCAGGAGGCGAAGAAGTCTGAAGGCAAAACGTCTCCATCCGTGCGTACATGTGTCTTCCTCGTGGAGCTGATGTACAAATTAGGCTTAACGGGTCCAATGGGGGTTTCTCAATGCCAAGGAACCTCGCCTTGATGTCTTGGCCCCTCCCCGGTTGCCTTGGAGATACGTCACCAGGAGCCGCCAAGATGTGTTCCAATATTCATGTTCTACTGAGGCCTGTGTTCTCTGTTTCTAAGCTGTTTAGCTAGCTGAGCGAGGATACACTGGAGGTGTCTTGTAGCCTAGCCTTGGCCAAAAATTTCCCAGAATACACCACAGCATTTTCAAAAGGACGGTGGATCAGAAGCCGACAGCTACTTTGGGGGCAAATTTCAAGTTTAAAAGTAAGTCAGCTAATTTAAAATGTTTTTTTTTAGATCCAAAGAAGTTATCTATGGTTGGTTAGTTGCTTAGTAGCTGCAGCTTCGGTGGCTAACGGGTAGTAACTCACTTATATTTTTAATTAAATAAACATAAACACAATTTAAAAAGTAAAAGGCTCCTTACATATCTATATTGAAACCAATACGTATAAAATATAACGTTATCTCCCCGTGTCACGCAATGTTACGTGACCGCCGTGAAAGCGTGATGCAAGTCTGTTCCATTTAACCGTTTTCTTTGACCAAGGAAGGACAGTGTCCTCGTGAGCAAGGCGCCTGGCCTCGCAAGACATCGCCTCGCCAGACCGGGCGCCTTGACATTGAGAAACACCCTATGATTGTTTCATATAGTCTGAGCATGAAAATAGTTTCCTACATCTATCTGCTGCATTAGCTTTTGATAGCAAATAGATGGTGATACTCTAGGATTAGAAAAGCGTGACAGATCTATGTCACACTGTTAGTCTGCATTCATGGGCCCCGCCCATCTTGGTTCATGCCCGCCCACACAAAGGCCTTTTTAAAAAATATTTT